CAGTGTTAAAGTTTAAATCTTACCTGGGAAGATCAACACATTAAACTGATAACACTGGCCTAGATTCATTTATTAAACTATCTTGATAATCATGTAGCTGAGATCGGAGGGACAGGATAGAAAATAAGCGAGTTTTGATGAGGAAGGAGATTGTAGACAAGGCTCAAAATGGAGAAATCAGGGAGGGCACCAGAGGTGGGTTCAGGACAGCAGGAAGCAGCCTGAGGGCAGCAGGTATCTGGGGAAAGTGAGAAGGGTTTGGAGGAGAGGTCCAGAAAGACCCCAAGGAAAGTTTTGTCCTTGACAATTTTGTTGGGGTCAACCCTGCCAACAGCCTACAGCAGAAATTAAAGATCTGGAATTGGTGTTTTTATTTGTTTGTTTGCTTTGTTTTTCTTTTTAACATATATAGGATTCATTTTGAGAACTCGGTAAAAAGTTACTTCAAATATTCCTAGCTGAGTGGTGTATGTCTGTATTTAATTAAGTTTGGAACAACAAGAATGTCCAACAGTAAACATATTTTAGAAATATAAAAAGAGCAATGTTCATTATAATGATCTTTGAAATATAAGATTCTGAAATGCCTTAAGAATTATAAAATAAAGAATAAATTATTGTCACTACAGATTACAGATATGTATACTTCACTGTATCCCAAGATATAAAAATTGGCAGTTTTTTACTTTTTAAAATTCAGTGAATATTTATTTATTTTCAAAATTTCTATTTTTCAATTAAAGCTTACACTCAATATTATTTTATATTAGTTTCAGGTGTACAGCATAGTGGTTAGACAATCATATACTTTATAAAGTTGTCCCCATGATATTTCAAATAGCCACTTGGCACTGTACATAGTTATTATAATATTCTTTACTATATTCCTTATGCTGTACTTTACATCTCCTAGACTATTTTGTGACTACCAATTTGTAGTTTTTAATCCCTTACCCTTTTTTGCTAATATTTATTGAATCTCTGCTTTTCCAGATACTGTGACAAGTGCTCAGGATATAGTAATAGAACAGACAGATATAGTCCTGCCCTCAAGGAGCTTAGAGTTGAATAAGGGCAATGACCATATGTACACAGACAAAATAGTCTCAGCTAGAGAATAATGAGGCCAAGGCACAGTCAGGTAAGAGCTTTCCCACATAGTAACATTTAAATTGAAAAATATAGGAAGAGCAGGGCCCAGCATATTCCTGGATGAGGAAATAGCATACACAAAAGCCCCGAGGTTGAAAAGAACCCAGAAATTTGAGGAATAGGACATTACCAAAGAGAAAGGTACCAGATGAGACTGGAGAGGTAGGTATTTTGTTGGGTGCTAATTATTGAGACTGGGAAGAGCATGAGAGGAACAACTTTTGATTGAGAATCAAGTTTTAATTTGTATAGTTATAGATGCATATGTGACATCTAAGAAAGATTATTGAGTAGGCAGGTGGATGCAAAGTCTAAAGTTCAGAGAAGAAGACTGAGCTGAAGATGTAAAATTTAGATTCATCATCTGGCAGATACTATTTAAAGACAAGAGAATGGTATGATCACCTAGGGAGACATTGTAAAGAGATAGGAGAAGAGGGCCTATAGATTCCAATGTTAATAAATCAGGTACAAAAGAAGATCTGAGAAGGGAATTTACAAGGAAATCCCAGAGAATATGAGTGCAGAGAGGCCAATGAGAATGAGGGTTTCAAGGAGAAGGGAGTGGTCAGCTCTTGGAAATGTCCCCCAAAATTGATTTAGATGGGGAGAGAAAAGGATTCTTCTTTCAAGATCTTGCTGAAGATGGCCAGAGACATTTCAGTGGGTTGGTGAAATGGCAGTCCTTTAGTAACTAGAATGCTTAGTCAACTAACCATAACATCTTATTCTGCAAACATTTTGGATAAATGAAGTTGAAGCTAAGAACAAGGCTCAAGGAAATAGTTGGGAGACCTCAAGATCGAATTCATATGCTTAAGGATGTATAGACTTCTGGTTCTTTGTTGCAGAAACAGGAACCAAAGCTTCCATGAACAAATTTGTAGGATGCCTTGGCACTTCTTCATTGTCCAAATATTAATATTAACCTCAGGTTAAGGACAACAATGCAACTCAGATTTTATTATTATTTATAAATATGTAGAGTGAACAATGATAATAGCAGGTATATTTTTTAACATTAACTGTGTTTAAGGCCCGTTAAAGTAATCTTTCCAGGTATTAAATAGTATTATTTCTAGTTTTCAGGTGAATAAATGAAGGTTTAGTGAAAATACATAATTGTAAGTGGCAGAGCTCAAACACGAAGTTATGGTTTTAACTACTATACTATGCTGCTAATTTATCAACTACTAAAAATCATTTTGGTTAGAAATGCAAATAATCAAGGATCTGTCTGAAAGTTAGATCAATATTTGTGAGTTTGTTTCTTTGAAATAGAATTAATTGCTTTAACAGTTACAAACTGACTTGAAGTAATAGCTAGGATAAGTTTGCAAAGTCGTATGAGGATTTGGACTATATCTAGATGAGAGAGTTAAAAAGAAATAAAGCATAAAACCAGCTGTTTGAGATTTAGAACTACACATGTGGTTTTAATGTTACAATTGCTGCTTCTAGCTATTCACCCAGAAATATCTGAAATCTTGAGTTTATTTCAAAATGCTGATCTTAGGGTGTTGGGCACACGCAGAATACCAAAGATGGTAGCTTTAGTTTTCTTCTAAAGGGTGTCTGTTGACAACATTTAGGCACTGGCTTCGTTTATATTTGACTCTTGAGTAAACTTTGAAGGGTGGCAAATATATGATATAGTTTTATTTGAATATTTAGAACTCTTAGAATAGCTATTCTAATAATACTGTATTTGTCAAGTACACCGAGGGAGTCCTTGTATTTTTAATTGCAGTTCATTTCCATGTTAGTTACTTCACTATAAAAATTAGTTTAAGTAATGTTTACGTTTTCCATTACAGGGATTCTATTTACTAAATCTTTTACTAAAATATCTATGAAGCAGTAGTCCGAATTCAGAAAGACAAACAATTTTGGGAGGTAATACACTAATGTTAAATGTGATGTCAGTGGCAGCCTCAGATGTGGTGGGCAGTGTATATATCCATTTTACTCTTTAAATAGAAGGAAAAATTACTTTTTATGTGTGTAGTAATTACTTCCATGGCAGTGATTATTCCAATAACCAGTTAAGTTCATAGAAAATGTAATGACATTAATTAAGACAAAATATGGAAAATGATTATTCAGAAGAGAATATAGAATTGTAATAAAGTTATATCTTAAAAATATAAATAATTGTATGTGACGTCTAAAGAACAGGCAATAAAAGGAAAAAAGTAGATAGTTTCTACTACATAAAAATAAAAATAAAATTGTGCAGCAAAGGACATAATCAACAGAGTGAAAAGGCAACCCACAACATGGAAGCAAATACTTACAAATCATATGTCTAATATGGGGTTAATAACCAGAATATATAAAGAGCTCCTACAACTCAACAACAGCAACCAAAACCAAATTTTTAAAAATGGGCAAGATTTAAATAGATATTTCTCCAAAGAAATACAAAGATATACAAATGGCTAATAAGCACATGAAGATGTTCAACATCACTAATCCTTAGGGAAGTGAAAATTAAAACCATAATAAGATACCACCTCACACCCATTAGGAGGGTTGCTATTAAAAAAACAAAAAAAAACCCATGGAAAATAATGTTGATGAGGATGTGGAGAAATTGAACTGTTGTGCATTGTTGCTGGGAATGTAAAATGGTTTAGCTGCTATCAAAGAGTATGGTGGTTCCTAAGAAAATTAAAAATATAATTATAATATCCAGCAATTTCATTTCTGGGTATATACTCCAAAGAATTGAAAGTAGGGACTTAAAAGATATTTGTTCATTAATGTTAATAGCAGCATTATTCACAATAGCCAAAAGGTGGGAGCAATCCAAGCATCCATCAAAGGGTGAATGGATAAACAATAAATTGTATAAACATACCATGTAATATTATTCAGCCTTAAAAAGGAAGGAAATTCTGACACATGCTACAACGTAGACAAACCTTGAGGACATGATGAAATAAAGTCACAAAAGAATAAATGGGAGTGTGATTCCACTTTTATGAGGTACCCAGAGTAGTAAAATTTGTAAAAACATATAGTAGAATTATGGTTGCCAGGGGCAGGGCAAGGGAGAAATGTGGAATTACAGAGTTTCAGTTTTGCAAAATGAAAAGTTATGGATAGTAGTGATTCTTACACAACCATGTGGAGGTATTTGGTATCACTGAAATATATAATAGTAAATTTTCTGTTAGGTGTATTTTGCCAGAATGAAAAAACAATAAAAATACATACAAATTATTGTGAATAGTGTGTCTTTAAACTTTTTTAAAGAAGAGAAAATGTAAGTTATAAGAGGCTGTATGGAAATTGATAATTAGTAATTAATCTGAAAATATATTCAGAGTTCTTTCATATACATTAGATATATATTGATATATTATGTATAATTGTATATATAATCAATGTCCAGTTACAGTCAGCCCTCTGAACCTACAGGTTTTGTATCCACAGATTCAACCAACGTTGGGTTGAAAATATTCAGGGGAAAAACCCAGAAAGTTTCAAAAAGCAAAATTTGAATTTGCTACTTGCTGAGCACTATGTTAAATCCACTCAATTGAAGTGGTGTGTAGACATACACTGCTGTAGCTCATATGCAAATATAGACTACCTGCAAGTACTATGCCATTTTATATTAGGGATTTGAGCACCCAAATATTTTAGTATCCTTGGAGATCCTGGAGTCAATCTGCTGTTGATACCAAGGGACAACTCTATACGATTATGCATAATGTAAAAATCTTTGGTGATGAGAATTTCCTGGAGGTATAATGAAAGGAATTATATAATAAGCTTAATTCAAATATTTTGTTCTGTTGCAGATCTGTGGTCACTTGTTCCCATGGTTTCGAGGCGCAATGAGTCACTCTGGCTCTCGGAAACTTTGGCTCTGGGTGGCATTGCTCCTGCTTCCTGCTTCTATGTCCGTGACAGTCAGGGACACGCCAGGTATCCAGGCTACCTCTTCTTACAGTCACCAAGTGTTATTTATCATTTCTAAACTATTTTTTTTAATCATGAAAATGAATCTTGTTAAAGTTGAAGAGGCTATGGGTTAAATTTTACCAGGACAAAATAAATAATAATTGTTCCCCCCATTGACTTTCATGTTGAACATTGAGAGTTTCTAAAATTACCTGATTTTTTTCCCTATGCATATTATATTATTCTAAATGTCATTTTCTTTCCATCATTGATATTTACAAATATAAATATATTTGTGTTCATCTCTTTGTATGTGTATTTCTCCCTTTCTCCTTTAAGTTGTGTTATTCGAGTTATTCAAATTATAAGTACAGAAACTCATCACCAGTTAGGATTAACTGGGGACGTATCTAATCTTAATTAGGAAAAAGTGAAAAACAGAATACGAGATATAAAAGGAAATGTCATTTAATTATACAACAGTTTTGTAGTATCTCAGGTGGGGTGAACAGAAATTTTTAAATAAGTAATATTTATTTGCAATTGTTAGATTATTGACCTCATAAATATTTCCAAAAGGCTTCAAGGCAATTTGAAACATTTACTTCCACCTCTGACTTTTATAAATGATTATGTGGCTAACTTGGAAGACTTTTCTTGAACACTGAGTATGTATAAGTTTTTGATTTAGATGTACCTCATAATTAAAAGTTGAACTAGATACATTGAAAAAGCCATTTGCTAAGCAAAAAGAAACTTCAACTCTTTCTTTCTATGCACATAATTACGTATCACTTATTCTGATGATGATCACATGTGATAATATACTGAGTCTGAGTCTCATTGTGCTTATTCTTTTTTTTTTTTTAATCCTCACTTGAGAATATTTTTTCCCCCTTGATTTTTAGAGAGAGTGGAGGGAGGGGACAAAGAGGGAGAGAGAGAGAGCACGTGTGCATGTGTGTGTGTGTGTGTGTGTGTGAGAGAGAGAGAGAGAGAGAGAGACATTGATGTGAGAGGGACATATTGATTGGTTTCCTTGAACTTGTAACCCAGGCACATGCCCTTGACAGGGAATCGAACTCATGACCTTTTGGTGCAAGGGTTGATGCTCTAACCAATGAGCACATTGGCCAGGGCTCTTTGTGTTTATTATTTTGAATGTGTCCTTTAATAATTTTTTCCAAACAGGTATAAATACACTCTAGTAGAGACTTTTGAGTTTGAAACACACATAAAATAAACACAGTCTCTTATGAAGGTATAACAAGTCTCAATCTCTCAGAGTATTATGTAAGTTTTTATGCTTTTTTTTTTTTTTAACTAATTTGGCAGGAGATACATTTCCTAAAATAATCCACAGGACATTTTGTGTATTCTACCACTGTATAAATGACATCCTGTGACTGTCATACTTTTTTCGGGGGAAACATTTTAGTGAGAAAGAAATCAGGAGTGACTCAATGCCAAAAAGAAGTACATGGAGCAGGGGACTTTATTCTGATAACATTGTTTTTCTGTGTTTCATGTCTCTTCCTTTTAAGAGTGTTAGTAGGCAATGCAAATTGCAAGTTAATCAGAGAGCATAAGACTGTTTTGGTTAGAAAGGAAAATGAATCTTTGATTAGTAGGACAGTTTTTAGACGCATGCTAGTGTGGAATACGTGTTTGATGATAGTAATGACTTAAGGGCTCTACATAAATGGTTTTCCAATTTTAGTATGAGCAGGTATCATTGGGGGTATTGATTTGCAAGCCCACTCTCAGAGATTTCCATCATGCAATACAGCCTGGGGTGGGATTCAGTCATTTACATCTGTAACAAGTTCCCTAGGTAAATCTAATGCAGCATATCTGAGGAAAATACTTACAGAAACACTCACCTTAGCATAATTGACATTTTTTTTCTCTCAGTTGGTTTCCTTGCATCTTATACTACTGGGTTCCTTTTATTCTTCTTCTTCTTATTCTTATTATTTTTATTTTTTAATCCTCACGAGGGATATTCTTTTCATTGATTTTTAGAGAGAGTGAAAAGGAGGGAGAGAGGGAGCAGAGAGAGAGAGAAACATAGATGTGAGAGAAACACATCTATTGGTTGCCTCCCACATACGCCCTGACTGGGGCCAGCAATCAAACCTGCAACCCAGGTACGTGCCGTTGACCAAGAATCAAGCCCTCGACCCTTCAGTGCATGGGCTGGGCTGACGCTCAAACCACTGAGTGACACCGGCCAGGGCCTGGGTTCCTTTTATTTTATTTTATTTTATCTTGTTATTTTTTGCCTTTAGTAACTTTTTTTTTATTGTGATAAGAACATTTACATGTGATCTACCCTCTTCACAAATGTCAAAGTGTGCAATACAGTGCTGCTGACGATGGGCACAGTGTAGGACAGCAGATCTCTGGAACTTAATCATCTTGCGTAACTGAAATTTCCCCAGCTTGGGATTCCCCTGAATGTTTGCTTCTGTGGCTTTGGTATCTCAATTCTTTTTATCAAGTTATAGCGTATTAGGACAACCGAAATGTATGTACACTAGTCCATTAACTTGTCAAGTTAATATTTCTGGAAATGTTTCCTAAGAGTGTGAATTAAAAATTAATCTGAACTCTAACAAGATTCACAGAACATGAAATACTAAAGGAAATTAAGAACAACACGAAGAGTTGACTTTTATCATGCCATTAGGTGGACGGTGCTCAAGAAGTAACGCATACTCAGCATGCCATGGAAATTGCTTCACTTCAAGTATCATTCGCATTCATTAAAATGTCAGCACAGCTCTGTCATGAGGATTGTTGAAGACGATGACTGGCTAGGCATGGTCTGACGGGCTGCTCTTCTGGTGTCTTGTGTAACTGGTTCACAGCACGGCTTCCCATTTTAGTTTCCTCATGTGCAGACCTGCACGTGTGGTCACTAACCATTTACCGGAGGGAAGTGATTACATCTAAAAATAAAATATAACCAATCTGAGGGAGAGGGTAGGGTTTCAGCTCTGGAGTCTGGGAAGTTGTCAACAGTCTACTGTTAAACCTAAATATATGAAGGATAAATTGAGTCTTTTAATTGCTTTACTTTAACTCTATGGTATATGTAACAGTTACTTGGGCTATTGTCCCAGCTGGGACAGAATTCAAGAGTAAATCAGAGAGCTTTAGTAGCAACTTGAATTTTAAAATCATGAGGCTATTAAGAGTTTACTTCATATTTTTCATCAATTGTACTATTATGCTGAGTTCTGAGATAAGGCATGTTTGCATATTTTCATGCTACAGATGAACTTTGAATGTGGCAGTTTCAGGTTAGTTGTCAAACCGGGTAGGGAAGAGAATTGTATTAAAAATTATTCAGTTTGTAGATAATCTCAAAACTTACTATACTCAGTTACTTAAAACTTTCTTCTGTGATAGCAACTTAACATACCAAATAATGAAAGATTTCTCTTTTTTCTTACTTTCTTTTAAGACAAAGTATTGAATTATCATCACAAGTAACAAAAATCAGAAAGCCAGAATAAGGAAAAGCAGCAAATAAAAAGGGATATGATAGAATGCCATCTAAATCATAATTTTTCTTTTGCTTAGGTAAAACTTAAGGTTAAGTGTCTAGAGAGAATTGATTGTATATTTAGGCCCCAAACTATACACATAAACACTTTTAAACTAGTTTTATATCAATTACAAGAAAAAGAAAAATTCTGAAATTTGGCTTTTACCAGTTGACAAACACTGCACTCTGAAATTCAGAACAGAAAGTATGCTGCCATGGAGAGAATATTATTTTGTGTTTTCAGGAATTCCTCGTGTTCAGTTTGATACCATGTAAGCATGGTACTACTGACTGCACTTTCTAACTCCTAAATGAAGGAAGCGTCACAAATTGCTCAGTGAAGGCCTCACTCCTAACCAATGTTCTTCTTCGCAGGAATAGCTTTGGATACAAAATAAGCAGTGAAGATTCTGTGACCTTTTATGATCTCTCTGTTAAAATAACTTTGTTCCCCTCACCCTCTTTTTTCTTGCTTGGTTACTTTTCCATATAATTTTTGTTATGTTCTGGTCCAATGTGCTTTGCCTATTTTTGTTAACCAATGTTTTTCTCCCAACGTAGGACACCCTGCAGTCCTTTATCAGACTTACCAACAAAGTTTAAAGGGAACAGGGGGCCTGAGAGCAACTAGTAACCATGAAACGAAAAGGCCTGCTTCCCTTTCTCTCCAACAGGAATTCGGTTTTAGTTTTTTGTTTTGTTTTTTAATGCAAACCGTCCAAAGGCTCCTATTTTGATCCATGTATGAAAGGAAAACAAACCATGTCTCTGTCTGTGATAAATTGCTGCTCTTCATCTTCCCATCATTTTATTATTTTTTCCCTTTTTGTTGGATTTATTGGGGTGACTCTAGTTAACAATATTTCACAGAATTCAGGTGTATAATTCTACAACACATCCTCTGTACACTGTACTCTGAGTTCACAACCCCAAGTCAAGCCTCCGTCCATCACCATTTATACCCCTAAACCCTCCTGCACCTCACCCCCACCCCACTGGCAATCACCACACTGTTGTCCAAGAGTTTCTCTTTTCATCTTCTTATCTTGAGGCACACAAATGCTGTGTCATGAGTTTTGTCACTAAAGGTAAACACTTTTCTTTAATACTGGTAGATTTTCTTAATAATGTTAGGGGAAAAAAAAAAGAGCTTGAGAGTCATCTACAAAACTAGACAGATTTTAATTTTACAGGTAATAATTCCATACTATAGTATTTATATTCCCAAGGATATGAAGAAATAAGAAAAACAAAGCAGGAAAAATGGACAAGAAAAGAGAAATGTTACAATGTCTCAGGAGACAGCACGTCCCCTCTTCCCTCAGGTCTCTGTGGCCTTAAATACGGTTTATATGTCAGTCGCTCCCCGTGTACTTCACAGCCTCGACCTCTCTCTTCAGTTCCATACCCGTATCTCTAGCTGCCTGTTCGATAACTTCTTTTGAATTTTTTTTAATTGTTGAAGGTA